TTTTCCTTTTGTAGCAAGCAGCAAAAGAATTGTAACATGACGTGTTTGAGGTTGATGTACCTACTTAAAGGGGACCTATCATGCAAAAGTCACTTTTTTATGTATTTTATACATAACCATGTGTCCCCGGTGTGTCAGGGAACTCACGCAGCGTCAGAAAATAAAACCCTCTCTCTTTTCCTCCGTACCCAAATCTCTAAAAACGGGGCTACAACGGAGCTGATCCAGATTTGCGTCCGATATGACGTAATATCTGAAATGTGGACCCACGGCCCAATCAGAAACGTTGCTATCAGAAACAATGCCCGACTGTTTTGGACGTAATATGGTCGGTGTTTACATTAGCATCGCTAACACTCAGAGCTAACCTTTACTGGAGAGCATGTGTGTGAAGAAGCAGGAAATAAACAGGAACTCACCTTGTGGTATAACCGGCAAGAGAGAAAGCCTTTGAGCTCCATACTGTTTCAGAAATAATCCTTGATAATCCATGATATGGCGTTTCATCACGGCAGTATTTAGTTTAGACAGTAGCTGCCGGGTCCGCATGAGCTCAGCCCCCTCCTTTTTTATTTGTTATCAAATTTTTTTTTTTAAAGCTTTCTACCAAAATCAGCTCTTTTGAAACAGGAAGTGAAATAGAGGGATATGAGGCATGGCTAGAATGGGTGATCTGTTTGGTATTTGGAGCAAAACACTTCATAGACATGTTTTTTATATATCTGAGACCTATGCTATTGCCTAAAAATAGCATGATAGGTGACCTTTAAATAAACATAAGAAGTAGATGTGCAGATGCAAAATATAAAATAAAGTAAGATATTTATATAAACATAAGAATCTCAAGTAAAAAGATCCAAAAAAGATTACTCAATATTTCTATAAACACTGGCAGAGAAGATTACAGACAAGACTTACAAGACTACAGAGAAGATGTCTCAGAAATCAGAGCTGATTTGGATTCAGTCTGATCTGAGGCTTCTCAAAATCTGGACCGTCAACGAATCCCCCTGAACTCTGCTCATAGATTCGTGGCTCTCGGTACATCCCTCCCTTTGTTCTGGCAGTGCCGCCTGTAGCTCATTACAGGAACAGGTCGTCCTTGCAGTTATATTGTCTTTGTGTTGGCCCTTATCTGTAAATGCTTCACTCCTCGATTGTATCTTAGCGCCCTGCCCCGCTCTTTCAGAAATGTTACATTTTCTGGCCTTACTTTGGCAATTAATCTCGTTGTTATGAGGCGGAAACACCCGACAACACTCAGCAGCTAGTCTCTGTTTGTTCATGTCATTTACTTACATGTACTTACATTTACATGTCCTCTGCCCCCACTAGATCTGAGTTCAGTTGGACCTAAACACTTCAATAAGAGACACCTTGACCTTGAGTTTACGGAACACAGTTTATCCGATAAGACAATAGTTAAAGATTTGACTAATAAGTTATAACCTTTTGCTGGGTGTTTCTATCCCTTTGAACTTCGCTCTGACCGTGTTGTGTTCTTTTTACGGTCCAGAAGTTCCTGATGCTGGATGAGATCATAAAGAGCCCCGCTGCCCCCCCACAGGAGGAGAATGAGGACGCCTCAGTGGAGATGCAGGACCTGGTGTGCTACTGGGACAAGGTCGGTTAGCTATCGCTCACTGCTGTACACACTAGCAATGAAGCAATTCACGCCATCACGCAAATCCAGAGATATGATTTAACCTTCAACCACCCACAGCTCTGCTTGGTGAACGCACTCGCAGTGTGTGCTTTCTCAGACTGCGAATACAATTAATAATGACATAGATATCAACATAAATACACATAGACGCCTCCTGGCAGTGAAAACCTTACATGATCCTTATATATTGTTTGTTTCATTTCTCAGCCATCATCACAATTTGCTGCCTTTATCAAAACATTTTAGACATAGTGTAAATCCCAAATGTGTGCAGCTTTTATTATTGATCACGATAATCACCCTTTCTGTGTTCAGATGAAATTGTTTTTGTCTTGGAGCAGGCATTGTTCAGACAGCCTTTTAATGAAATGTATTTTCGGTGATTCCTCGGCAGCTTGACAAAAGATTGGCTTTGTTTTGTATAAACATAGGAAAACACCTCCGACTCACTTTCACTGAAGCTAACTCTGAAAGCCACACCTAGAAACAGGCATGACAAAATTAACTTGCCGCCTTAGCAACAATAAAACAACAACAATGTCATCAGAATTCTCGTGTACTTTTCCAACGTACTGTAACCCCTACTTTGAAAAACTCCATTGTTTTATATGTGGGTCAATATAACGAAGATTAAAGGGTTGATTAGTGTCTTGTTTGATTTTATAATGTTTAAGTGTGTTTTGTTTTTTTGTTGTAGGGTCTGGATGCTCCATCTCTGCAGAACCTCTCCTTCTCTCTGAACTCAAAGAAGCTGTTGGCTGTGATTGGACCAGTGGGAGCTGGAAAGGTCAGATACACCTTATCATGAACTTGTAGGGGCAAACTCATAACAACGCTGGTTTGTTGGAATAGTTACAAAAGGTAGTTAAGCTAAGATAGGCCTTTATTCATCCCGAAGGAAATTGGGAGTTACAAAATGCAGCACAATAATAATACAACTGTCCACTAACAGTGCAGTAAAACTAACAATTCAATAACTACAGGAAACATAGGCCATAGTTCTGGTTCAATGTTTTGTTGTCCTTCCAGTCCTCTCTGTTGAGCACCATCCTGGGAGAGCTGCCCAACGAAAAGGGGACTCTGAAGGTCAAAGGTCAGCTGACGTACGCCGCCCAGCAGCCCTGGGTGTTCCCCGGAACGATCCGCAGCAACATCCTGTTTGGGAAGGAGCTGGAGCCCCAGAAGTACGAGAGAGTCCTCCGAGCCTGCGCCCTGAAGAGGGTGAGATACGCTTGAATGACTTTATGAATGACTTTGAAGTTCACCTGCACGGATAGATAAAACACTGACTCATCAAATTCATAAACAATCTGATTGATGTACCGCACTCGGACTCACTCTGAAATGTGAGATCACTTCTGTCAGGATTCGGTGCTAGAGAAAAAGTGAATGAGTGTGCTCTCTGTATGGGCACTTCACCTTTGTTTTAAGACAGGTCAAAACAATAAATGATACCGAATGATATATATTTAGTTTTGATTGATGTTTTCAGAATCTTAGGATGATATGTACACAGAGTTACATATTAGCTAAGGAATGCCCAGTCTCTGAGTCATGTAATGTCAGCTGCATGAACTGTATGTAGAAAAGACAAAACTGGAACCACAGGCTGACTAGGTGCTCATTCCTTCCTTCATTCCTTCCTTCATTCCTTCCTTCATTCCTGGAGCACTGACAGCAGTGACCTTTGGAAATAAACCTCTGGCAGCAGCGGTATCTTTGCGTCTGCAGGCTAACTGTATTTGAAGATCAATATGATGTAAAGTCATTCTACTGCAGAGTCTAAGCTAAAGTTGTATGGATGGTTCCTACTTTTCTCTTGGACTGATTGGACTTGGACAGACAGGCAATGCCATTTATAAGACAACCGTTTTTGTTGCATTTGTTCAAATTGTGTTTTAAATTCGACAGCCATCAAAATAAGAAAGGCTGTAATAACCCGTCTAATCATTTACCTGCCGGCCGTAAACTCATTGAGGGCATTGAGCACTGATAGCCACGTTGGTCTCGAATGAGAGCTAGTTGGACGGTGTTAGCATAACAACGCTGCAGTGTGCTGCTCTCCCTAAGCTTCCTCTCATCCTCCTGCAGCGGTCATTTGGGGGTACTGGTTTTAAAAAAGACCTTTTGCCGGTCTCTGAAGATCAGCCGAGCCACGAGTTTCAGACTGAGCAGTAAACACTCACTCTGAATAACTACATGACAATGACTTGTAACCTAGAAAAGGAGAGGTCACCCGGGCTGTGTCCAGTAAATGAGTTACTTGTGACTCCTTTTATCGCTTTTGGTTGTACATAATAAAAGGAAATTATCCAAATAAATTGTCCCGATGTGACGCAGGATCAGACATTATTGTGTTTGAATGGACATATCATGTGACTCACTATGACTCTAAGCAGCTATGTTACTGTCAGGATGTGTTTAATGATGGGATTAAGAAAGAGCTTGATAATGGAAAAGGATGGATTTGAACTAGAGAAAAAACGAAAACAGTTTGCTGTTGCCTCTTCTAAAAGCTCAGCCAGGGAATGTTGCTTTAAAAAAAAAAGTACCCAAATGTTTTTCACACACGTGCCATGTTTTCTTTTGTCCATTTCAATCAACAAATTCAATGTTTTCTTATGTCAAGAACAGACAAAAACCCAGGGAGATTTAGTTATATGCATCTATTTATCATATACAGATATGTTACTGCATGAAGTGGCGTTGAGAGAAACGAGTGGTGAAGTTGTTAAATGTACACTATGTGCTTTCTTTGGCACATGTTCAGACATGTATTGCCAGAGGGCTACACTGCCTCTGCGGTTCCTCCTCTTACAGTAGTTGTGCAGCCTCGGGTTATTATCACAGAGCTGTGTCTGTTGCTCAGTCAGGTGATGCCTTCTCTGCAGTCTCTTCTATGTTAGTGTTATTTGTTTAATTTCAGAAATGAAAAAAGAAGATGTAAAAACAAGTTCAGTGTGATTTCCCCCTCCCCCTTCTATTTAATTGTTTTTGAGTTCTACATTCATTGTATTGTTGTGTGAGTGCAGGACATGGAGCTGCTCCCAGATGGAGACCTGACACTGATCGGGGACAGAGGGGCCACCCTCAGCGGGGGACAGAAAGCTCGGGTCAACCTGGCCAGGTGAGAGGCCATACGACACCAGAGGCGATTAACTGCATTTAATGAGATAAAAATCACTCTTAGGAAAATAGTTGTTTATTATACTATTGACTGGGATTGATGTGTTTTCAGGGCTGTGTATCAGGACGCAGACATCTACCTGCTGGATGACCCTCTGAGCGCCGTGGACGCAGAGGTGGGGAGACACCTGTTTGAAAAGTGAGTGATTTGAGAGTAATGTAAAACGTTTCAGGCACGAAGTGTGTGTACATGCACATAGTAGAGCAGCAGGTTACAGCACACGGATCGATCAGACTCCAGTCTCTTTGTATTCAAACAGAAAAATGCGGTGTTCTGGTTAACTCCCCGTGAGAGAGAGCTTCCAGTTAGATCTCAGCAAGATCTCAGCAGTAGAAAAAGGTTCATCTGTTTTCAGCATGCTGCTATACAGTTTACACTGAGGGCTATGCATCTCAAGTGAGAGCAGAGAATGTTTTCAGGGAAGAAAAAGTTTCCAGTGTTTTTAAAAGGCCAGACCAGAGGCTAAGGCAGGAAGAGGTGCGGTGCTGTTACTGTCAGCAGGACAATCGGAGTTGACCCACTGCTTCCTGTTACACTCTTCCGCTCGGATAATACAGTGACATTATGTAACAACTATAATATATATTGCACACATACTGATACAGTAGATCGGCTTAAGATTGCTGCTCTGTTATAAGGCGGGTGGGGGGGGGGGCTCTGAACTATCTAGATAAATAGCACTACAGGCTGTCACTACAATCGACTCAAAGTTCACTGTCCGTGTGTCCTCAGGTGTATCTGCGGTCTGCTGAAGAACAAGCTTCGTGTCCTGGTAACCCACCAGCTTCAGTACCTGCAGGCAGCCGACCAGATTATCGTCCTCAAGGAGGTCGGTGTCTCTACAGAGCAACATAACATGTGCAGCACTATGTGCAGCATTTACACTCCGATTCACTCTCCAGCACCAAGTGGCAAAAACACCTCGTACACATCTGGGAGAAAAGAGAGCATAAAGTCACGTTGAACATCACTTCTTGTTGAGGTCACTAACAGGAAGCCAGACTGTTTGTGTTTGAAGACGTCAGCACCATTAACTATAAACCTGTCGGAGTGCGTTTACATGGAGAGATAGTGTTTGTGTGTCGGCAGCGCTGATGTAAACACAGTCACAGATGTGCACAGTATCCTAACTGTGTGTGTGTTTGTGTCAGGGTCACATGGTGGCTAAGGGGACGTATGCAGAGCTGCAGCGGTCGGGGGTGGACTTCACCTCCTTGCTGCAGCAAGAGGAAGAGGAGGAGCAGCAGCCGGCTCCTCAGGAAGTGTTTGTGAGGAAGAGAACTCTGTCCCAGAACTCTGCGCTCTCTCAGTCGTCCTCCGTGCTCTCGGTCAAAGACGGAGACCATTTACCGGTTTGTACATCATCTCCCCTCTCTGGCAATACTGCGGCATGTGTATGGCAGTGGAACGGCAAAGAAAGCGGCACAAGCTGCCACGCGAGTATTTGCGTAGCCGAAATGATACGGAGGGGAAACACAGTGTGGGAAATGTGTCTGAATTCAGATATCATCCAATCTATTCCATTTATTCCTGTTCCGTTTATTATAGTATAATACTATTCATTTAAAAAATTAGCCGATGCAAATATTCTTACAATTCAATATTGTATAATACTCCAGAGCCTTGTTAAGTCCAACATTAAAAATCCACAACATGTATTTTATCTCACCAAATGGTCACAATGTTTCTCCACGCAGGCAGAGGCTGTGCATATGGTAGCAGAGGAGAGCGCTCAGGGAAACATCGGAGCCGGTCTGTACGTGAAGTACATGAGAGCTGGAGCCAGCGCAGTGCTTCTGATCTTCCTCATCCTGGTCAACATTCTGGCTCAGGTATGCAGGGAAGGCCAACGGAGGCACCACCAGGTTGAGGAAAAGTAAAATCCTCTGGTATAGCCGAGTGAGAAAATGTGGAAAAGATTCTATACTATATTCCAGTGGTTCTCAACTGGTGGGTCGCGGACCAAAAGTGGGTCGCGGACCCGTTTTGGATGTGTGAGTGAAGAAAAACAAATAGAATTTTCTTTTTTTCTTTTGGGGGAAAAAGTCAAACTTTTATATTGAAGGCCCAATTTTCTAACGCTGTGCATGCAGTAGGCGTTGGACTGGAAGTACCGGAGACCACTAGTCATGTAGTGATCATCTTCTCAATAAAACATCTTTACTGAAGTTTTTTCGAGTCTTCTGGCCAATCAGAATCAAGATTGTTGCCGGAAGTCCCCACGGAGAATAACTTTGCGGTAGAACTATTCTTTATACATCCATGGGTACAACTTCAGATAAAAAATGAACAAATAATGACATGACCACCGGTTTGATGATTGACAGGTCACAGAACAATGGGGGCTATCTACCCTTACCCACAAAGTAATTCACACAGACTATCTCCTCTTTGCTCTTCGCTCTGTGAGGAGCAGCAAGCTGTCAGAACAAAGTGAAACACAAACAATGGCATAAAATGGGGATGGGTTTTCAGCATGTGTGCCTTTTTATACAGTTCAGCTTTGATTCCATCATCTCATAAACCTTTTTTTAAAAGCATACTTTAGTTCTGTGAAGGGATATACTGTACTTCACTTGTATTAATATTGTATGCTGAAAAGCGTATATTACAGCACGATTTTTTGTTGAAAAGATTTGAGTGCTTCAAAATGTTGGGTCGCTATTTATTGACCAAGTAAAAAGTGGGTCCCGAGGCCTAACCAGTTGAGAACCACTGCTATATTCTATACACAACAAGTGCATTGATCAATGAATGTAAGAGGAATCGGTCCCCTCTTGAGAGAAACACTAATCGACTGCTTGCTCTTTTCAATTTTCTAGGTGGCATACGTTATGCAGGACTGGTGGTTGGCTCATTGGTAACTATGACGATCACTGAGAAGATACCATTTTTTAACTTCCCGGTCATTTCTCAGTTCTTTATTTCTGTACAGCCTAACTTGTTTTTCCTTTTTGACCAATCAGGGCCGACGAGCAAGGGAAGCTGCTGGTGAACGGCACCGTCATCCAGGACGGAAGAAACGTCACGGTGGAGCTGGACACGACGTTCTACCTGGGCATTTACGGAGGTAACCTCAGAACACGCGTGGTTCTTTACTCCGCCACCTTGTGTGCATCGGTAGTTAAACAGAGAATATTTTGCCGGGTGTTTTCCAGGTTTGACGGCGGCCACCATCCTGTTCGGTTTTGTGAGGAACATGGTCATGTTCCACGTGCTGGTGAAGAGCGCACAGGCTCTGCACAACCGCATGTTCAACTGCATACTCAGGACGCCCGTGCGCTTCTTTGACGTCAATCCCATCGGTAAGCAAAAGTTCAACATGACTTTAGCTGCCGTCAGTTGCCAGATTATTGCTCGTCTCAAGGAATATTTACAGGAGCATAACTGTAAATATACAAGGGGAAATTACATGAAACGAGAAGTTGCCACCTCTAACCACATTGATAAACATAAACTGTAGTGGCGATCGAAGCATGATCTTCTGCTAAGCGGTTTCCATTGTATGTATTTTGTCTCCTCAGGAAGAGTTTTAAACAGGTTTTCAAAGGACATGGGCCAGCTGGATTCTAACATGCCGTGGACTATGGTGGACTTTATTCAGGTGAAGAGTGGTCTCACGGCAGCGAACATGGGGGCCGTTTAGTATATCTTTGTACGGGGCTGTACGGTCGAGTTCAATAAACATTGCACGGCTTCCAGACAAAGGAAACTATTAGATTAATAGTAACTTGTTTAAGGCAGTAAATGTGGTGGCATTGATGTTCATTTTATAAGCCATTAGTTTCTTTAATGAATTAAGTGGCAAATGTTCCGTGAGTGGGACAAGCAAGGGTTGAGTAAGGGTTAGAAACTATGTTGTATAATGTTAATGAGGGACACACATCAGAAGTAAGTGACATCATCTATTTAAATGAAGAAATAGGTTCCATGTAGTAATATAATGTAAGTCTGTGTATTTAAAAGACTTGTCAGGAATAGGCATTAAATAATTAGTGGATTAGTGCTGTTGTTTGTGCAGACAGGCAGCAGTGAGGCAGGCAGCAGAGAGGCAGGCAGCAGAGAGGCAGGCAGCAGAGAGGCAGGCAGCAGAGACTGCCACACCTTGTGTTTCATACCTGAAATGGTATCCAGATTTAAAATGCATAGCTTGGCTGAAGGACGTTTTTCTATAAGACAGGATGTCCGCGGGGTCTTAAAAAGTATTAAAAGTTGATAAATCAATTTAGCGAAAATGAAGGCTATTAAAAAGTATTAAACGGCATTTTCCAAGGTATTACATTTTGTAGCTTGTTTTCAATAAGTATATCAATTGTCCAAAGAGGTTGTATTCTACAGTCTGCCTGAATGTAATCATTGCGTAGGTGTGTAGTGTGATTCTGTGTAGTTTATTTATGGCATCCCGTTGGATTTGACGTCATCTGAACAGGACATCGCACGCTCACTGCTTGATAGCGCGCGAAGGTCCGTTTACGCCGGTTGTTAAACAACATCGTTATGGGGAAATGCAAGTTTGCGTCCAAATGGTTGGAAGATAAGGAGGAAGGACAATCAATACTGTATATAGTCAATGTGAGGAAAAGTGTGTCGCCAATGTAACCGGTTAAAACTCAAAGTGGCGATGAGGTCTTAAAATGTATGGAAAGGGTCTTAAAAAAGGTCTTAAAAGGGATTACATTTGACTTCAGGATTCCTGCATATGTAACGTAAGAGATGTGCCCAGAAGTAGATGCTAAACCCAAAGAAAACAGTGGCGACTAAGGCTGGAGCCACACGAGGACGATAACGCAAACGGACCGAAATCGTTATCAATAAAGTATTCCGTCCACAGGCACCACAAACGTGTCCGTTCACACCAGACCGCTCGAAAGCGCTGGAGACGCTGTAGTACATATGCCGGGCCTGTAAGTGGCGCTTTACTTCGGCCACAAAATACACCAAAAGCAGCGAAGAAGACTTCTCGCGGATGCATGGTTGTCATGGTTGCCCTTCTGTTTATTCTCCGCGCTGGATTCAGCAGCAGAGGTGGGGTTCCGCCGGTCAAGATGTCAGTTAAAGTTTCAATCTTCCGGACAAAATTAGAATAGTGCCGGTCAAAGGTCTTCTTTGTTAGTTATTGAGCTTTAAAACAAATGAATAACGACTCTATATAATAATATAAGAATAATACACGGAGGACGGAGCCTCTCTTTTCCTCCCCCTCTCCTTACAACCCTTCAGTATCCGTGGTCTCGTGCGTAGCTATTACTGATCCAGTAATGAGTGACCCGACAGTAAAAATAAACATATTTATAACTAGTGTAGGTAGTTTGAGAGGTAATTAAAATAGCTAAGGGTGATGATCTGACTTGAAGTGTGTGTTTTGTTCCGCTCATCGCTGCATCACAGCGGGTGGAGCTGCAGGTTATCATGCAGAGCTGCGTGTCTCCTCTCCTGTCCGATTAGACTTCACTCGCGTTTTATATCCATATCGATCCAATCTAGCTGGAAGCTCCTGCTGGGTGCACTGTCCTGCGAGATACCGGGACCTGGCTCGAAACACTGGGGCTATTGCGTCATCAGGAAATGATCGTATAGGCGTAAACACGGAGCGTTTCGTTTGCAGATCTACCCACCTTGGGACCCGTTATCGTTTTCTGCGTTTCCATGTCGGCCTCGTGTGGCCGAACCGTCTATCTGATAGAGAACTGTAGCAGATACGACCGTTATCGTCCTCGTGTGGCTGCAGCCTAAAGCTACGCTAGTTTGTTTCGTCTTCCCTCCTGAGCAAAGAGGTAAATGTCGGGCGAAGGATTGCCTGATTTATTGCCAGAGAGCGGCCTTCTGCATA